CTTTTTTTTTTTTTTTTAATGGAAAAACCCTGAAGAAATACAATTGACATCTTTGGTAAAAGCAAATTTAAGTGGATTGGGCACCAAAGAGTCAGTAAATTTGAGGGTGAGTGAACTGCAGATGAAACCCCAGCGAGATACTGCTTTACACCCACCGGAACGGTTGATTTTGGTGGGACTGGCGTAATTCTGGCATTCTCCTACACTGCTGGCACGAGTAAAGTGAGTTAGCCACTGGGGAAAACAGGCAGTTTCTCATAAGCAGACAAACTCTGCTCTATGGCCCAGTAGTGCAGCCTTAGGTATGAAGAGGAACGGGCACACAATGTTTGTGGCAGTCCCAAACAGGAAACGCCCAGGTGTCTGCATAAACTCTGGAAGAATGCACAAATTGTGGAACCGTCATTTGAAAGTCCCATGGTGCCGTGCCATCCAGCAATAACACGGATGATTCTGAAAACCGTGCTAAGCACAAAGACCCCACACAAAAGCGCACACAGTACAATTCCATTTGTAGGGGTCTCAAGAACAAGCAAAGCTTGTGGTCGCTCAGGGCAGTGGTTGCCTCCGGGTGGGGTGGTTAACCGGGAAGGGACATGAAAGAACCTTTACTGTGAAGGGAATGTTCCACATCTTGCTTGGGGGGATAATGACAGGTGCACACAGGCGGATGGATGGTTGCCCAAATCTGTCCGTGTTTTAGTGTAAAGTTTGCGTACATTTAAAAAGGTAGAGGACGCTTGGGTGGCTCAGTCTGTTGAGCCTCCGACTTCAGCTCAGGTCATGAGCTCACAGTTCGTGAGTTCGAGCCCCGTGTCGGGCTCTGTGCTGAAAGCTCAGAGCCTGGAGCCTGCTTCAGATTCTGCGTCTCCCTCTCTGCCCCTCCCATGCTCATGCTCTGTCTCTCGATAATATATAAACATTTAAAAAATTATATATATTATATACATATATAACATGCACATTTAAAGCTCACAGTCAAAATGAAGCATCCTGTGAGGTACTTAATAAGCTAGCCTCTATCTCCCACCCTGTGGAGTTCAGGCCCAGACTACGTGCAAAGCCGGCAGACCATTTCCTCCAGCAGTTCCCAGGCCACGTGGAGGGCTGAGTGGGTGAGAACCTCCAGGTACTTCCCCAGAGCTGCTGCCCTCCCGCCCCGGGTGCTGCGGTTGGTCCACACACATTCAACTCGGGGGAGGTACACTGTCCCCAAGGGATGTCATTGTGCTGCTCCGGGATGTCGTGCTGCTCCTGAGCCCTTCGGGAGGGGGGCCGGGATGTGAGAAGGCCTGCCCCACACCAAACAGCAAGAAAAAGGGGAGAGCAACACAGTTTAGTATCTCCCATTGTTTCTAGGAAAAGGCACTGCTTAAGTATACTTTTTACCAGAATCTGCGATGTCTGTTGTCAACTGAGCACATGCATAAAGGCAAGAGGGATTCCAGTAAATGCTTCTGGTTTCACAAGTTGCTGATTGCTGAGAATTCTTTCTCTAGGAAAGGCTTGGAGATTCTTCCAAGAGCTCTTGCATTTGTCCATCAAACTGGACGGTAGCGGCATAAATAATCCTATTTCCCACATAATCTGCATGAGAGATTTCTGAATAATCCGGTGATTCCTGAACACCAGGCTTCCCATCAGCAGGAAGTCCTGGGTCCCACACTCAGCACCCGGCCCTGCTCACCTGCCACCGCCGAGCCAGGCCCCTCCTCGACACCGCTGTACGACCACAGAGGACACGGCATGCTTAAAAAGTCAGTCCATCGATGTGTCAGTTCGGTGCCTGCAAATGTTTAGCAACTTTATAGGTAAAAGAAAAAAAGTTCAGGGACACAGAACCAGCCCTTTCCTGATTGCCGTAGAGAAAAAGACATGACATCCTCACTACTTCAGGAAGTTAGGGCCACAGAAGCAAGTGGGCAGGAGGCTTCCCCTAAGCTCTGTGTAGCACACATATTACCTGACCCTTGGTTACGGAAGCTGGTAAAGTGGGGTCTGCGAAATGCGTAACTCCCACGGCAAAACCACATTCTGTGATCACCAGTTCACTTCCATTCTGTACACTTTCTCCTGCTGGTCAGTAAAGACTTCCGTGTCTGGCTTACTCTCATTGATCACAATTAGACAGCCAACGGGAGAGGGGAGACTGGAGCCACGACACTGAGATTTAGAGAATTATTTGTGGTCCAGCTGCAGACAGTCATGACAGCAGTGCCCAGTCAGTGCAGGGACAAGCTCGGGGATGTGCCCGCGGCCCCGAGGGCAGCCACCTCCCTCCCTGTACTCATGAGGCAGCAGGTGCGTGCGGTGTGGGCTGCCGGGGGCAGGGCGCAGGGAGCATGCTGCTCTGGAGTCAGAAGCGGTACAAGTGAGATCTCACACCACGTGAATCTTTGGCAGGACAGCCAGGACAGCGAGGTGCTCTTTGAAGACGAGTATTTCAACACAGTTTATAAAACACAAGATAAAACTTCCTCCCAAATATGGCTAAATATGTAGATTAAATAAGGCTCCCAATGAAATGTGAAAATCTTTAACAAAAAATAGTTTATTGCACAAAATTTAAGGAATTCCCCAGCACACTTACATTTATAAAAAATCAACATGCTTTTTAAAGTTACAATTCGTTGTGCACGGTGACACCTTTCCCCTGAACAGCCCCAACCTGAGGACATCCTTTCATGAGGAAATTTTTAACAGAAATGAGTAACTTAAAGCCACCAAGTTTTCTAGATCCTCTAAAACGTTACCCTCCAGGATCCTATTATAACCTGAGACCATCACACAACCAGATTTGCCTGGAACGTGTGTCAGTGAACTTGTTCGAATAAGGCTCAGAATGTCTACATGTCACAGGGGTTCCTTGTGGAAGGCTCCAGGACATGTGTCTTTCAGATACGCTGGTCCCTTTCACTACTAGAAATCTTTACACAGGACACGTCATTTCTATGTGACAAGTTACTCATGGGAGTAGGAACACATGTCATGGCTTCGGCAGCATCTACACCAAAAAAAGCCTGTAAACTGAGAAAGAGTTTAGTGAGAATCTTCTTAGCAGGCCTGTCCCATTACTCGGACCCCAGGCCACAGTAAAAGCCAGTTTCACATCCTGTCAGAACTTTGCCTGTTAGACCTTCCAAAAAGTAGAACAAAAGCATATAAATCCATAAGACCTAATGGCATCCATCCCGTGTTCCACAGAAAGATCAGTGATAACCACGCCGCGGTAACATTTTTTTTGGAACGTAAGAAAAAAAATAAATGACACGATGAAGTGTCCAAACCAGTGTCCTCTGCAGTGAGGACATGACATACAGTATTCGTGACCCAGGATGAATAATATCCACAAACGTAACGTAACAGCAAACCTAGGTTTCTAAGCACTCCAGACTGGACTGTTGTTTTCCAGGAGTAAATTCCGAATTCCCACTTCTGCACAACAGGAGAACGTTTCAAATGATACTCACTGCAGACTCTGGCTCTGGGAGGTAGCAGTCGAGGCCCTCGGAGGCTAAAAACAACAACAAACCCTCAACAGATCAGGAGCAGGTGGCCTCCAAGTCCAGTTTTCTCTCTCAGGTAGCTGGTTAAGGAAGCCTAACAAAAGGCTGGACTGAAAGGCCCCAGATCCGGGGCTGTGGCCACACGGGAAACAGCACGGCGGGTGGGACAGCCGGGGCGTTCGGGAACCAAAGAGGGTGACAACAAAGGCACAGGGTGACGTCAGGAAACCAGGAGGCGCTGCTGCCGTCGCCACAGGAGCACACGTACACACACGCAGGCACGAGCACATGCATGCATACACACGCGCACACACAGGCGCACTCACACACGCACACACAGGCGCATATTCACACGCATAGGCACACTGACACGCACACACACAGGCACATACAGGCATGAGCACAGGCATACACATACACAGGCGCACACTCACGCACAGGCACTCACACACACGCACAAGCACACCCACGCAGGCACGAGCACGTGCACACATGCACACACACAGGCAGGCACGCACACACAATGACAGGTAGGCACACGCACATACACAGGCACACACTGGCACATGCGCACGCACACTCGGGCACACACAGATACACATGCACATACACACATAGGCACACCCACGCGCACATGCGCATACCCACACAGGTCTACTCACACGTGCACATGCGCACACAGTGGCACACACACACACACCCACATGCACATACACACGTAGGCACAACCACATGCACGTGCATGTGTAGGCGCACACGCAGGCACACGGCACACAGAGGGTAAGACATGAAGGAAAGGAGGTGAGGAACAGAGACTTGCTCACAACCAGCTGACCCTTTCCTAAGAGAAGACGCGCAGTGACTGTCCCCGGGGGGCCGCCGGCACGCAGCAGTGAGGAAGCAGCCACGGCAGGAGGCTGAGTGTCACGTGCTGGTTTTAAAATTAAAACTGAGGATAATACACCCCAAATAAATAAGAATGTAAATTATGATTTTTTTCTTCTCTAATGGTACAAAAACAATTTTGTCAAAAACGGTTTCCAACTTAAGATGAAAAATAGGATATATTTATAATGAAGTCTTCAAGTATTACTTTAAGATTAACCCTGTACAAGTGATATACACGTTTCAGAAGTCCCAAGAGTCGCTAGGGAATTTTTTTACACACTAAACATCTTTGTGGTTAACGCTACTTTATCAGTGAACCTTCTAATAGCATCTTGTGAGAGAACACAAACAGCTTTCAAATACCAAACTGTTTTCTCCTCAAGAGAGACAAAAGTAGTGAGTCGACACAGGCGGATGTGGCCCCATCAGTAACCCCTCCAAGTTCATCTCCAGACCAGCAGATCCGCACCAGAGGCCTCTCTGCTCTAACTCACAACAGTGAGGGTTAGTTTAGATTTCTCAGCCAAGTAGGGGACAAAGTTACAGACGTCAGGGGTCACGGCCAGTCAGTTTCTGCAGCGCTTCTGTGTTTCAGGGGGAGAAATGTCCACGAGAAACCTCCCACGCTCAGGGAGCTCCAAATCCAGCTCCTCCCCTACAGGACAGCTGGGGAGGCCACCGCCACCGCCTCCCCACGGAGCTGACCTGCCCCTTCTAGAAACCTCAGTGTCTCCAGCGGAGAGGCTGCAGGACCTTCCAAACCTTCAGAAGAGTCCAGCGTGTCCTCTGATGACCACACAGGCTCTGCTGGACATTTTCGCGGAGGCGTGGGGTTGGGGGGGTGGTGGCCTGGGGAAGCCTGGGTTTGGAGCCCTGGCCCCCTCCCCTCCTCTCCTGGAACCTCTCCCCAAGCATCTCACACGACAGGCCAGCGCATAGTGACTGGGGTCAGCTAAGGTGAGTGAGGTCGTGCCAGGCCAAGGGTTGGATGGCAGGGGGTGCTGTGCACTTACGACAAGGCCCTCAAAAATAAAGTGAAACTAAAATAAAGACCCTTTTCTGTCTAAGAATATTTGGTTTTAGAACAGTAAATAAAATAATGATTTCTTAAAATATAATTTTCTGACTGACATCCCTAAACCCTACGTGTGCATTAATTCCTGACAGAACATTTTCAAAAGGCAATCAACAAAAAGACAATTCAGGTCATTCTTAAATAATACAGACATACTTTTTAAAGATTAGATTGATTTTCAGTATTTATATACACATCCTATGGTGAGATAGCCATTAAAAATAAAATAAAAACCAAAGGTGCAAATAAACTTCTGTTTCTGTAGAGAGGTAAAGCTCTTACTGAATTGGGCAGGAAAGAGAGAAATGGGACCCGGTCACGCAGCACTGCCAGTGGGGGCCGCCGGCTGGCGTCTACTCAGACAGCAGCATCTACGGTCACTCGTGAGAGATTCCCTTCGGACACATCCCAAACCTTCTTGCTGAGATCTAGGTTATGTTGTTAAGATTTGGTCATTTCGTGGGAAAAGCTAGTTGTGATTTGCAAATGACTATTTCTCTAATCCTCAGCTCTCGTTCCGTCCTTTTACTCCTTGTAAAGGCAAATGCAAAATTTAAACCTCATCTCTTAGAAAAACAGAGCAAACAGTCAAATAAATAACCTTGACAAAAGAATATTCCTTTGGGTAGTTACAAGCACTCGGACTGTGGACGCTCGGCAGCTGCTGTTCCAAGCTCCTCTCTGGAGACCTTGCACTGGCCGAGTTGCTCCGTGTCTCCCCGGGGGTTGGCGTGATCTCCCAGGGGAGCTGGGCTGGCAGAGGGGTCCCCCTGAGTCCACGAGGACAGCGACTCGTGCACGGTAACGGTGTGCGCTTCCATCTGGCGCTGAAGGCTGTCCATCTCCTGCCTGAAGAGAGGGGGAGCCAGGGGAAAGAAGGCCAGTCAAAGGAGAGCCAGACGAGATGCGGTAACTTTCCCTGGAGACAACCAGCTCTCTCAAACGTGGATCCTAAGAAGCCTGACCTGGACAGCAGTCCCCTCAGGTACCGCAGCACCTTCAGGGGGCTGACAGAACCTGTCTGTTTGGGACCAGCAACACTGACAGGGTCACAGGATTTATGGGACTCGGCATTTTTCTCTGCACATGCAGAGGAGGCCAGTAGGCCGTGCAACTCTGCACACGGGGGCTTCTACTCAGGGAGGTGCATCAGTAGCACTGAGGGCCTGCCACATGGCTTCCACTCATAGGGTCAAAAAAGACGTCCCCTGGGGCGCCTGGGTGGCTCAGTCAGTTAAGGCGGACTTGGGTTCAGGTCACGATCTCACGGTTCGTGGGTTCGAGCCCCGCGTCAGGCCCTGTGCTGACAGCTCAGAGCCTGGAGTCTGCTTCGGATTCTGTGTCTCCCCCTTTCTCTGCCCCTTTCCCACTTGCACACTCCCTTCCAAAAATAAATAAACATCAAAGAAAAAAAAAAGGAGTAAACAAAATTTTTTTTTAATTAAAACAAAAGATGTCCCCACATGGCCACACCCTGCAAACACTGGCCTCGGGCTGGCGGGAGCAGAACATCCAGCTGTGGGGTTTCTAAGGGCTCAGGTCCTGGCTCCTCAAGGGCTTCTCAGGGTCACTTAGTTCTAGGCCATCCTCCCCAGATGACAGGGACCGACAGCCCAAGTGACCCCACGTGGCACAGGCCTGCTCTCAGCCTCTGCTGGGCATGAGGTCCTGCCAACAGAAAAGATTCTTCCAAATTAAAACCTGCAGTCTATCTTTCGAAACTGAGTGACACAGAACACAGAACGCAGCTCGTACTTCAGCTGCTGGAGACAGCTGTTGAGGTTCTTGAGGGGCTCCTTGCTCACGGCAGGCGGGGGCCTCAGCAGCTCCTCCAGCAGGGAGGCCGGGACGGGACAGTCGGGGATCTTCACCGGCGTCACGGGACCCGAAGAGCCGGCCTCGCCTTTCAGTTCCTTTCTCTGTTTTTGAAAGCACACGGTTAGCGGTGTCACTAAGAGGGGGACCCCACCACACGTTCCCCTCATCAGTGCCCGGGGTCACAACAGGTCATCCCAGAGGAGCCTCCCGGGAAGGCATGGCCCCTGCTTCCCGGGCAGCATAGCAGGCAGCCACGGGGTTCAATGAACCTTCTGCCTCACACACGCGACTAAGCACGTGCTGGCTCCCCAGGAGGATGAGAACACCCCTCCTCGCAGGGGGCTTTCCATGAAAGACCATGGCTTTGACTCTGCACATCCCTAAGAAATTAAGTCAATTTTCAACTCATACAATTCCCCTTTCTAGGACTTCAAACTTTTTCACAGACAGGCAAACAATGGTAAATAAACCTGAGTCTGAGTGATTTCTTTGCCCCTGGACAACATTTACGTAGACTGAGCAGAGAAACAAAAGCCAGGCATGTGGAGAATCTGAGCAGGCTTGCGACGGCAGCTTCAGGGTCCCTGGGTCCCCAAGACCATCCTGGCAGCTGCTGTGTCCCAGCTAGCTGGCCTACCAGGCCTGGGGCTCTTGTTAACAACAGCAAATGATGCCCTCGTATGGTTTATAAAGTATATTACAACAAAACGGTACCTGAACTCACGCTCTTGGAAAAGGCACCAAAATAAAAGGGTTTGGCCTATTTCTAAGCACAATACTCCGGCACCATTTATTTTCACACGGTACCTGCTCCTGGTTGATTACATGTAACTTCACGTCTGAGTAACTACGGTGCGCCCGCCACCGCCCAGCAGACCTGCAGTGGGCCCAGCGAACTGAGGGGCACAGAGCCCGAGTACCGTCTTGGCCGCGCCACGCCGCAGGTCCAGCCTGAGCTGCTGGTTTTGCTGGAGCAGAGTCTTCATGTTGTTCTTCAGCTCTGACACTTTAGCTTGCAGCATAAATTTATCTTTCTGGGTCAGGGACAGATCTTCTCGCACTGTCTCCAACTCAGCTTTGATATTCTAAGGAAAGGGAAGTCATAGGTTTTTAAAAGCTAAAAAAGCTTAAACACGCTGCTAAGATCTTAAGCTTGTACGTCACAATTCTAAGGGGCTAGAAACGTAACACTGATTTTTATGTGATGAGGTACGTGGTGTGGTGAGCACGCTTCCTCCTCAGGGTCTAGGTCGAGCAGTGTCCTGTCACATTCACGTTCTCAACGTTTTTATCCAAATTTCAGAGCCTCGGGGGGCGCCTGGGTGGCTCAGTCGGTTGAGCGGCCAACTTCGGCTCAGGTCATGATCTCACGGTCCGTGAGTTCGAGCCCCGCGTCGGGCTCTGTGCTGACAGCTCAGAGCCTAGAGCCTGTTTCAGATTCTGTGTCCCCCTCTCTCTGACCCTCCCCCGTTCATGCTCTGTCTCTCTCTGTCTCAAAAATAAATGTTAAAAAAATTAAAAAAAAAAAAAATTTCAGAGCCTCTGCCGAGGAGCCAGCAACACTCCCGTGCCTGCTATCTACACTGGACCCCGAGTCACCTGTTTAAACTCCGAGGTCAGCTACTAGAATAAGCCTCACCATTACTAAAGAAGAATATAAATCAGGCCTAATGTTACTCAAGCCCTCCGCTCACAAGCAGGAATCCCGGCAAGAGCTACGTTCCTGATCCTTTGCTGTGTCAAGACTGTACGCAGATTTCTTTGTGGAGAAGTTTGTCAGAGTGAACGTTTCACATGCTTCGTCTCATTGACTGTGCTTTGCCAGATCCCATTCCGGGAACATGCCACACGGCTCACCCAGGCCGTACATAGCGCTGGGGTCTGGCCTCCTTGGGCTGTGTGGACTTCTCTCCAAAATAAGTGATGTTGGGGCGCCTGGGTGGCGCAGTCGGTCAAGCGTCTGACTTCAGCCAGGTCACGATCTCACGGTCCGTGAGTTCGAGCCCGGCGTCGGGCTCTGGGCTGATGGCTCGGAGCCTGGAGCCTGTTTCCGATTCTGTGTCTCCCTCTCTCTCTGCCCCTCCCCCGTTCATGCTCTGTCTCTCTCTGTCCCAAAAATAAATAAACGTTGAAAAAAAAATTAAAAAAAAAAAAACACACAAAATAAGTGATGTCTGCAAAACGGCTTGGTGGGAGCGCTGAGCTCGTCAATAACTCGTGCACTTAGCGTGCTGCCTGCCACGGTACCTGGGACTAGTACTATGATCATCAACTGCCTCGTGAAATGCTTGCTGGCTCTGACCTTCTGCCCCGGGACCTTGACACAGCAGATACCTGCAGTAAGTGCTGTATTCCATCCAGTTCCTTTTTACTCTGCTGTTCAGTCAAGTCCAGCTGCTGCTTCAAGGACTGGATTTCTCTTTCTTTCTGATCCACCTCCCATTTGAGATTTTCCATCTAGAGGAGGGAAAAAGTCACATGACCAAGAGAATTTTACAGTGGCTTTCTTGCACTATAAAACTGTTCTAACTACATCTGTGTGTTAATATCATATTTATAAACAACAAATATCCTTTCCAAGCACACAGGGAACGAAGAAATGAGCGTGTGAACCGACCATCAGCAGAGTCTAGCTTTGTCGGCCCCGCCCCTGGCTCCATCGGCCCCGCCCCCTGGCTCCATCAGCCCTGCCCCCTGGAGAAGCAAAGCCTCCCAGAAGGTCACCTCTTGGTTTCCCGCAGGCTGTCTGTTCAGCTGCTCGTCCAGCTGCTTCTGCAGGAGCTGGAGCTGGGTCCGGGCCTCCGCCAGCTCCGCCTGGAACAGTCCTATTTCCTGGGAGTGTTTCCCCTCTTGGATCCTGGCAGAAAAAAAAAACAAGGAAGAACGAAATTACAGCATGCTTACTT